ATGACAGTCTAAGTCAGTGCAGCAGGAATAGGGAAATATTAGTGATGCTGGTTGTAATAGTGATAGTGGTTATTCCTATAAAAGTATTCAAAGTTCAGTACGAAGACATGCATCCTATTTTATCAATTTAGTATAACAGTTGGAGGTATGAGCTTACCGCCCGAGCTTACCGCGATACAAGTATGGTACTAGTGTTGCTGAGATTGCAATAGGCTAAAAGGTTAGACTAGGCTTTGAGGACTAGACTGCACTATCAAAGCTTGGGAAATCTAGCTGGAAGACTTTCGTTTTCTTCTGTTTTTTTCATCTTCAATTCAGTTAGGCATTTAATTTCCTCGCTGAGATCGCATTTGTAAAACTAGAAGAACCATTCTCATGACGCGTTTGGGCAATTTATGCCCGACATTTGGCGTAATTACTCCACTTAAAGTCAATCATCTCTCTGTCACCAAGCTGCTTGATGAGACATAAACTCCTTCCAACTTGTTATGCTCCAAAAAACGCCTATGAAAAATCCAAAAACAGACAGCAACTGCTGCTATTGTGTGCGTATGGAAGTGTTAACTGCCGAGGGTACTTGTTTTGTTACCTATGCTGGAGGGAAGCGTCAGTGTGGCCCGTACGGTGCCATCTTCAAAATATGGTGGCTGAACAAAGTAGCGATTTGCACCGCCACCTTCGCAATTGCAACCTCTCCCTTGAAGGTTCCATAAGACGGGCGAACCTGAAACGGGAAAACAAACACTATTTTTAGACTACCTTTATTCTCTCTATATTTGTTTCTGCAAAACTATTCAAAGCATATGGTATGGCTTTGGATAGGATTATTTTTTTTCCCTAACTTCAACTCCCGAGCTGCTACTATTTTAAATGTTTATAAAGATAAAACAAGAGTTACCAAGGATAGTTTAATTAGTGCACCCCATATGCCCTTAGTCCAGCATTTTTTCGTACGGAAACGATGGGTATAGGGTTCTTGGGGTGGGGAAATAGGATAGACTGGGAAAGAAATTTGTAGAAGTAAGTGGAAAGTGGATAAATGTTGTTGAACTCGTTTCCCGCGGCCGCTGGGAGTAAGTTGTTTCGCATGCAAATTGAAGGTGTGCGCGGCGCTTCGCGCCACGGACTATACTAATCTAACTCCCGAACGGTAAGTTGGACCTCAGGTAAGGTGAAGTAGACGACCTCCTAACCGCCATTTATACTTTTAAGGAATTTCTAGAAACCTGCACTTTGATAATGAGGTTTTTTTCGCAATACCTTAGACGATAATACAGATTAGGAAAATCTACAGGTATAAATCAACAAAATTCCTAAATAAAATAAAATAAAAATCCCTATAATAGTAATTAAAGTATATTCCCATAAAATCCCTATAACATCGGTTCCGTAGGACAAAATGCTGGGACCAGAGGTATATGAAGTGCACTACTTGAACTGCTGTTGCCCAAGAGTTTGCCGGGAATTGTTACTGGCTGTGGACATTGGGTTCACAATCGCGACAGTAACCAAACTCGGATTAAGCTGCCTGCTGATGAATATAGCAATTGTACTTCAGTATGTTTTCGATCCTAAAACACATTTTGGCATTTCGTTTGACAGTGTGTGCGGTAGCAAATTTACTGGGGGGTATTATACGGCCTCACCACCGAGAAAAAAATGAAAAAAGAAAAATTTCATCCCTAATTCATTTGATTGCAGTGGATAAACTATTCAAGCGATCTTGACCTACCTGAGGTGCCATGCTCCTTGTTGGGTATAACGGCAGTCCTGAGGTAGAGAATGGCGGCTGGACTGGCCCACTCTTTGCCGTCAATCACTGCAATGGCAAACACCTGCACTTTGTACACGGTCTCCGGTTCCAGTTCCTGAATCGTATATGCTCGAACAACCTGCAAGCAGAAATGACTTAGATAAAGATCAAATTTTGGAAGTAGACGCATTCTTTATATCCATCGTACTCCGCTGTTTAAAAGAACGCCAACAACCCGAACGTCTGGAAACGTACATATGAGTTCAGCTCAAATATTAATGAGTCTGCTACTGGGTCTGGTTTCTGCTACTGTTTCCTATTCATGTCTCTGATGATGAATCTGCGACGGATGTCGAAACGTCAGGCGTATAAACATATTGTCCTAGCAATCGAGTCTTCTTCTCAAATATTAATATTGACTTTTGTACCGAGCCCGACAAGATTTGTAGTTTCCCTGAAAAGTGAACATGACAACTAATGTAGTGTCGTGCACTAGACTATGGTTCCTCTCGTTAGTTCACTTTGTGCTCTTCTCTTCTGTTCTCTCCTGATTCAGGCATCACTACCAAGATGTCTAAAGTGAGGATTTTATTTACGTGAGCTAGTTTATCTCTGACAAAATTCACAGCTTTCCGACTAAACATCTCATCTCGGCTGAAGGGAGTTCCATACGAGAGGAAACTTTTAGAGCTTGCATTAATTTCTATACACGCATATGTGTCCTCTGAATGGATTCTGACAGTGTGGCGAAATAAATTTGGTTATGTGTAAATGCATGCAACAAACTTGCCTTTGGCACTTTTGCTTCGTATTCTGCAATTGGACTCTCATCCAAGGAGGAAAATGTATTCTTTCGCCAGGTAATCTAAAGTTGTAAAGAAATGGTTGAGAAACCAATTTTGGGAGATGGAGAGAGTGCGGTGAAGCAACGCAGAAAGCAAGGAATAGAACTGAAAATAATTTACTAGCATGGCTCTCTGATACAGTCCCACCACTAGTGGTCTGGCTTCTTTTAATTCAGTATCATCTGAAGCAGTCAGACTGTTTATGACGTAGCCATATACTTCTTTTCACAGTCATACCGTTACAAGAACTTGGACAGAACCTAGCTGTCCGTATGATGACGTTTGGCATGATCACCGAAATCATCAACAGCGCAAAACTTGTCCATCACGGTGACTGGAAGCTGTTCGGTTTGTTCATTTGCGGCTTCTGTGTCTTCAGAATCAGCACCAAGTAGCGCCGCGCGCATGGTGACTGCACATGCTGCCTCCTCTTTGTAAACGCTACACCCAGACGCATGCAGATAAACGACGAACGCTGACTCACTTTGTAAACATCTGCGTCCCCACAGTGCCTAACCCGCCTCACACCACTTACAGGTGAAAGTTGGAATAGATCGGGAAGAAGGCGGCTGAACGACCATCACGAAAGAAAAACTCGTCCGCC